TATCTTTCATTTACTCTAGATTTCTGATACACTGAACTACTTGATGGCACAATTATTCCCTCATTTTTTTAGGCTGTTCCTGGTTGTTTATGAACATTTACTTTCTAGGTCTACTGTGGAATTATTTTCTTCAGTTTCCAAAGAAAATCCTGTTGGAATTTGTATTACGATGTCATTATAAACCCATAAATTAAAGAGAAAAAAGATACACAGTATTTTGTGTTGAATGAGTTATGACTATTGAAGATTAATGTAGTTCAATGTCTAGCACATAGTCTGAACCATTCAATATATTAGTTGCTCCGAGTCTGATGTTGGGCTCCATCGAGTTGATACTGACTCACTGCAACCCCACGCACAACAAGACCAAGCACTACCCTCTCCTGCGCCATCCTCACAACTGCTACGTTTCAGTCCACGGCCATAGCCACTGTGCCGATCCATCTCCTTGACAGTCTTCTTCTTTGTTGCTGAGCTTCTACTCCACCAAGCAGGAGTCCTTTTCCAGGGACTACCAGTTTCTGCTGATAACAAATCCAAAGTTTCACCATTCTAAGCTGCTTTCATTCTTGTACGTCTGTCTTCCAAAGTAGATTTGTTTGTTGTTCTGACAGTCCTTGGTACTTTCAGTATTCTTGGCCAGCACAATTCAGATGCATCGATTCTTCTCTGGTTTCCCTGTCTACCACCATTCATTTACCAGTTTCTTGTACTGTGGTGGCTTGTGTGTTGCGATGATGCTGGAAGTTATGCCACCAGTATTTTGAACACCCTCAGAGTCACCCATGGCAGATAGGAGCTTCACCAGAACTTCCAGACAAAGACAGACTGAGAAGAAAGGCCTGGTGATCTACTTCTGACAATTAGCCACGAAAACCTTATAAATCACAGAATACTATCGTATGTGTTTGTTTTGGGACCATCACCAAGAGGGATCAATCCCTAGAGGAGAACACCAGAAGGTTGCAGAGGGCATGGGAAAGCAATGGTGGAATGGACTAGCACAAACCCTCAACAGTGGACTGACTGTCATGCCGGTGACTGGGATGACACAACACCAAGTAACGTTTCATTTTGTTCGTAGGTCACCCAGAATCAAGGCTAACTCTGTCTGCTAACAACATCCCTACATAGCGACAATGCAGGGGTTTTCATTAGATACTATGCTCAAGAAACAAGGGTTAGCTGATTGGAAAGAAAATTCAACTTACATGTCTTATTGGGATTGATGTGCTGCTTCAGGACATCAACTGTGCCCAAGCTAACCACTAGGTGCCTGCCAAACCAGAAAGAGACCACAGGCCCGTATCGCTCATGCATGGTAACCAGGAACTCATGCAAACTTCCACTGTTGACAATGTCTGGAAGATTACCATCTCTGAGAAAAGACCATTTGACAAAAAATTCATTTCAGTTGGAAAAATCAGAAAACCGATACTTGACTCTGAATTAACTGTGTCAACAGATACAGTACAAATTACTATAAATTCCAAAACTCGAACCCTCACCTTAACACTCGCCCTCACCCTCACCTCACTCTAACCCAAACTTCACCTTAACCCCATCCCTCAATTTGTCTCACACCCGAATCCTAACCCTACACCTAACCCTAAAGTCTAACACACCCTAACCCTAAAGTTAAGTCTAACACACACCCTGACCCTAAACCTAACCCTATCCCTAAAATTAAGTCTCACACACAACCCAACCCTAAGCCTAACCCTAACCCTAATCCTCACCACCCAAACCTTCACCCAGTCCAAACCCTAAATTTAAGTCTAACACACACTCTAGCCCTAAATTTAAAAAAAAATCCAAAACTCAACTTTACTTCATACTGTTTCTATAGTTATATAGATAAGGATTAGCTGATCATTTGAAAACTGCCAACACTTGAAACCAAATGAAAGAGCTACACAGGTACACTTGACGAAGACATCGGAAAACGATCCAACTTCTGCAGCAGCTCATCCTAAGACAGTGAGGCATGTCGGTCTGAGGATAATCATCACAGTCTTCCTAACTTTGGTCTCGATCCTGGCCCTCCATTTCTAATTTCCCAGGCTAAGGAAAATGAAAGCAATGAAAGGTTTTTATTTACCCAGCCCTCCTTTCTGTTCTTAATTAGGTTGTTTGCCCAGAAATAAATTTAGAGTAAATAAATTACATAAACTGAGCAATCTAAAAATATGATTTCATTTGGAAACAATAAACAAATGGGGGAAAAAATTTAAAAAAACAAAACCAAATGGTAGACTCGACTTGATTCCACAGAAACGATTACTCACTTTTCTTCAGTTGGAGTAATTCCTGGGATCCCTGAAGCTTGTCTAGAAGCCTTAAAGAAAAATAAATAAATAAAAGCCTACTATAAGAAATTGTCATATACCGAATCATTCACATGTGTTTCCACAAGACAAGAACTTCAAAGAGGGTTTTCAATTCAGCTGAATCTAAGAAATTTTTTCTATGTTAAAATAAAATTTTAAAAAACCTTCTTTATAGAAAAAGAATTCTTTTAACATTTTTCCTTTATGTCAATCTAAGGTGTTGATAAACATTTATATCCACTTCATAGAAATAATGCATAATCAAGCACATTTTTATTTGGTCCAAGTTACCTATAGTTTGGCTTAAAAACAAAAACAAACACAGACTTGATCAATATCTGTTTAATCATTTCATTTCAGAGTTATTTCTAGTGATAGAATTAATCAAAATATGCGATACTAAACTTTTGTTTTAAAGCAAATTATTATCAAAACAATATAGCGAGTGAGGTATCTGGTATAAAAGTACATTTGATAATATAACAATTCATATCAAATTGTTAAAGGGACAACCCTTAATAAACTATGAAATTTTTACTTTATTATTTTATCTTTGTAAATACAATTCAGGATTTATTAAAAATCAGGGATACCCCCCCTGCCATGCCCTCTGGCACTAAGAAAATAAATAACCAGAGGAGCAACAGCTAGGGGAAGAGGGCTAGACAGACTTCCCAATGACCCAACCCTTTCCCCCACTTAGGGCTCTTGGGAATGGCACCAGCTGGCACCTCGGCCCCGAGTGGAGAGTGGGCGGCACAAGGCACGTCTGCCCTGCCAGAAACAGGCCCTGGTATCACCTGTTTCCAGCCCTTGACTCCGTGACCTGCTGTCCCAGGGCCAAGGCTAAAGCACCAATTGAAGGCATGACAATTTTAATCTTATACACTTTTGCACTAGGATTCAGGATTAGTGTTATTTCTTATTTTAAATTAAGTATACACTAATTTTATAATGAAAATATTTCACTAAATAATCCTTAAAACTATAGGAAAAACTGTACAGTGGAAAAAACCCTAAAATGTTAAAACTCCAGAATTAATTCTGAATGCTGTCAATTAATTTAATAAATATATCATTGGAAATATATTTAAAACTTTGCCTGTTTTTAAACTTAATAGTAATCGATCAATATTTAGTTGAGCACTTAAAAGATTAAACTATATTCTATCATTTTGCTAGAAAGGTCTAATCATTTTCCTACTGTACTACTGGAAATCATTTAGACTTTGTATTTTCATAATTAAAAACAAAATTTTAAAACCCTCTGCTATCAAGCTAGAAAACCGAGACTATAAAAAAGGATGTTTACGTGCATGGTATTGACTATGCAAAAGTTTTCAACTGTGTACGTCCTAACTGTGGATAACATTGGGAAGAATGGGGATTGCAGAAGACTGTGCTCATGTGGAACCTGGGAACCTGCACACAGACCAAGACACGGTCATTCAAACAAACAAGAGAATACTGCATGGTTAACAACCACTTCCCTCCCTAGTGGGGTCAACTCACTGAAAACTCTATTAAGTCATCTACAACTTGATCTCTCCGAACCCACTCCATTTAGGTTTTCCTCGCCACCATTAAAATGAATCTGCTCTTCTTAAGATTAATGTTACTAACTTCAATTAAGTCAACTTAAGCGGTCGATTATTCTTGTTTGAAATGCATGGTTGCCTTCTGCTTAGCTAGCTGCTCCTTCTTCTCTGCCTCTATTGTGGCTCTCTTCCCGCGCACATCAGTTACAGGGTGTGGTCTGTACACTCCAGGGTGAATGTTACTTTTCATTAACATCTGAACCCCCAAATTCATATCCTCAGTCTGGACTTAAACTCAAGGAAACTTACACTCAAAACTTTCACATCCAATAACCTAGAAAAGAAACGTCTAAACATCTACAAATCTTCAGGATCTTCCACCAAAATATAACCAATCCCAACAATACCCTTCTGTCTGCAATCAACAATTCCTTATTCCAGATAAACTATAAACTCTGATACTTGTTGGTAACATTCTACTTTCAAACTAGAGAGTAATCCAGTTGGCTCAATCTTCACAATGAACCAGTTCTTACCACCTCTACTGCTTCTGGTGCAGGCTAAAGCCATTTCTCACCATAATTATTAAAAAAAAAAAAAAGTAGTGCAAGTCAACACCCTTTCCCACCATTCTCTCATCTTCCTGCTTTCCCTCTATCCCAGGACCATAGCCTATTCAGATCATAAACGCCTGAGCAATTCTTAAGATGTAACTAATAGATACAAACTTTAATTCTTTTGCATTTCGCATGTCACTTCTAGGTTGAAAGCCAAAGGGGTAGAAAAGCTAAGTCCTTCAATGACCCAAAAGGCCATTTAAAACCCACTCCTTTGTCTCATCTTTCTGACTTATTTCCTACTTTCCCCCAACTGACTCCTAAATTACATTCATCTCCTTTCTAGGAACCCACCAGGCAAGTTTCCCCAGGATTTTCTTATGCTGCTCCTTCCCCGAGACACTCATTTCTCTGACGTGTGAATGGCCTGTTTCTTCTTCAAGTCTTCTGTCCCATCTCCTGATGATCCAACTAAAAATAAGCACCTTACTCCCACACTTTATTTTGCTTCTTCGTGGTTAACATCATCTAACATGGTAAACATTTTATATTTCCCCCAACCAGAAGGGAACTCCTCCCTTAAACTCAGTGGAATGTGAAGCACGGGACAAAACTTTTTTTTTTTTAATTCAAGACCTGGGACCACTAAAGGTTTGGTTCGCTATAAAGTAAACCAGAAGTCCCAGATTCTGTCGCTACCACAGGCCTCCCTATTCCATTATACCAGCCCAGAAGCGAAGCTGTCATCGTCACTGATGTACTTAAAACGATCTTGATCGCCTTGCTTCCACTATCGATCCACCTCCCGGCGCTGAAGAGGTTTCCGAGGGGCCTCTTTGTCCCTCAGCTCCCTTGCTTTCAGCCCCATTGTCGGAGGTTAAGGCAAGGAGAGAGCGAAGGTAAGCCTGAGCTCCAGACCAGAGGCACTGGGTCAAGTTCACAGAGTGGGGGAGCGGCGCCCCTTTCCACAACTCCGCTGTGCCCCGGACCCTGCAAGCCGCGGTCAGGAACTCCCGGGCTGTGGATTCCAGAAATGACAGCGCCAAAGGCAGAGGGAAATGGCAGATGACAACAATGTGGTTAAAGGTAAGGCCCGCAGTGAAGCCCGCGGCACCAGGGAGTTCCCTCCGCGACACGCGCGCAAATGGCATTTTGGTCTGGCCTAGGGGCTGCCAGGGACGCGGCCCAAGTTGTTGAGACTGGGGAGAGAGGGTGCCGGGAGCCCTGAGACCTCTGCCCTCGACGCTGGGCACCCGCCTTCCGAGAGGAGGGTCCCCGCGTCATCCACGCCGACCCCTCCAGCGCGCCCCCGATCTGACGTCACGTGACCACGCCGAAGCCCCGGGACGGCGGTCCACCCGAACGGCCCTCGGCGGGAAGGCGTCGTGAATGGAGGGAAAAGCTGAGGCGGCGGCTGGACCCTGGAGGGTGTAGGCGGCGTTACCGGGTAGAGGTAGAGCACCGCTCCCACCAACGCTAGCAAGAAGGTGACGGCGAAGATCGCGAAGTCCAACATGGTTGTTCCGCTCTGGGAGCCACGTCTCGCATCCACTGCTCGACCAGCAACGCCTCTGCCTGGCCCGACCTACAGAATGAGCGTGTGGGCGGAGCGGTCCAGAGGGCCCGCCCAAAGCCTGGCCCGTGGGGGCGTGGTCAAAGGCTGCAAGTCTAGGGCGTGGTGGAAGCCAGGAGGGCAGCGAAAGCAATGGATCGCCGATCAGTCCGAGCTTGGTCCCCGCAACTGCCCCTCCCTCCCTGGGTGAGGCCAGAGAATTGGAATTTACCATAAATCGCAGATTGGGTGTCCGATATATTGTTTCAGAACACACAATTCAGGGACTGAGTTGCTGGAGAAAAGCTAAGCATAGACTTCGAAAGCAAGGAGTTATCACTGACCATTTTTTGTATTTTTAAGGTTATAATCTCGAAGCAGTAGTTCTCAATGTGGTCCCAGGGTGCAGCAATATCAATTACCCTATTTAACAAGCCCTCCGGGGGTTCTCTTCTTGCACACTCAAATTTGAGAACCACTGACATAATCGAAGTTTTAGTGGCTTATTGGGCTACGCATTGAGCTGCTAACCGCTAGGTCAGCAGGTTCAAACCTACCTGTTGCTCCGCAGGAGAAAAATAAAGCATGTCACCTATTAAGATTTAAGGTCGTGGAACCTAAAAAGGCAGTTCTTCTGTCCTAGAAGGTCACTGTGAGCCAGAATTATTTTGGGTTTGACCAGCGGTGGGATTCAACAGGATTCAGAACCAATACCTAATTTTCAGTTGAGTTCAGCAATGGGTTAAAAATGGCACTTGTAATCAGGGTTTTCTCTAAGCTGGGTGGCTATGCAACCAGCCAATGCAGAAATCACAAGTTTATATTACATATTCATTCTTAACAACGATCACGAACAGTTCAAAGGACCCCTGGTGGTGTAATGGTTACACGTTGCACTGTGATCCGCATGGTTGGCAGTTCGAAACCACCAACAGCTCGTAGGAAGACAGACTGGGCCTTGGAAATCCAGTGGGTCGCTTAGAGTCAGCATTGACTCATTGGCAGTGATTTTGGCTTGGTTATATGTATATGGTACGTGTTTATTCTGTCTATAGGTATAAAAAATTCAGATGGAACTATACTTGTAATTTGAATTGTGGTGCTGGAGAAGAATGCTGAAAGTATCATGGACTGCTAAAAGGACAAACCATCCTTTCTTGGAAGAAGTATGGCCGGAGTGCTCCTTAGAGGCAAGGATGGTGAGACTTCAACTTACATACATTGAATGTGTTGTCATGAGAAACCAATCCTTATAGAAGGGCATCATGTATGGTGAAGTAGGACAGTCAAAGAGGAAGGCCCTCAAAGCGATGAGTTGATACAGGCTGCAACAATGGGCTCAAGCATAGGAACAATTGTGAGGATGGTGCAGGACAAAGTATTGTTTTGTTCTGTTGTGCTTAAGGTTGACGGGTCAGAACCAACTTCATGGCACACCTGTCAACATTAACATGCTTACAATATTTATTTATTCATTCCATAGACTCATTATACTTTTGATGAAATACTACATTTTTATTCCCTTGAGTAAACAAACATAAAGGGGTAAAGTTCCAAACAACCAGAGGGTGCACATTGTCATTCGTGTCACACCCCAATTCCCAGGAGATAATTGAGTGAATTATGCAATCCTTGAAAATGTTCAAAGAGCTAAAATATTGTCAGTTCAGCAGAAGGGTTTTTTTGTTTATAAAAAAAAAGATGAACATAATATATTTAGGGAGAGAATATATTATTCTGCTATCTCAAACACAGTAACTATTGTCGAATCAGCCTACCTCTAAGGGAAAAGGACCCTACTCCTACACTGAAAAGGTGGTTAAGGATAAATCACACAGTTAATGATGCCAAGAAAACAGAAAATAATATTGCAAATGAGGACACTAATCAAGAAGATAGAAATATCTCAAATAACAGCTTTCCTGGTTTTTTTGGTCAGGTATTATAATAACTTTCATTAACATTTTGAAACTCTCATAACAATCTAGTTTTATGTTTCCAGTCCTTATCTGTACCAGTGTACATCCTCTGGTCTAGCCAACTTGCAAGGTAGAATTCAAATCATGATAGGGGGGCGGGAGGAAGCATTTAGGAACTAGGGGAAAGCTATATTTTTCATCATTGCTACATCGCACCCTGACTGGCGATTAAAAATAATAATTAAAAAAACAATCTAGTTTTGGTACCTCTTTTATTGTTAAATATTACTGTATGAAATAATAAATTACCTTTCAGTATATATTTTTTATACTTAAAACAGTCACCAGAGCAGCAAAATGGTTGTTAAATTATTTGATTCCCATCGCTGGGGTTTGACTTAAATTTACCAGAGCAGGAAAGACAGGAAGGTTCTAAGAGTAAGGGACCATCAGACGCGCTCCTTTCCCTGAACAGCTCACATGTGAAGTACTAGTGAGTGAGATTCTTTGGTGTGAGACTGGCAAACTTAAAGTGGTGGATAAGGAAACTCCTGGCTCAGCTAGTTCTGATGTTTAGTACATTGCTCCAACTTCCCAAGCTTCAGTTTCCTACCAGGAAAACGGAAAATGATACCACACAGAATTGTCTGGAGTTAAATTAAATATTTTGTGAAGAGCACTTTCGCTGTGCTGAGCGAGCACAACTACCAGAAGATCCCTCTTGAACAAAACTCAAGTTTTGATACGGGTAACATGAGGCAAGACCATGGTGCTCCAGGCAATGAACGCATGGCATAACTTCAATTACATAAAATGTCAGGAAAATGCACCATTTGGGTCAATCTCTACAGATTGCACTTTAAATCTTGTACAGTTTCTGACTGTTGTATAAGCATGAAACATCTCATTGAAATGCCAAGTCTTTTGGCATCTACAGGGAGTGTAGCAGAACACTGATATATAATTTTCATTTGACAGAAACTTTGCTTTTAGCTCTAGTTCTAGGAATGTGTTTTGAAAAGTAGTGCATACTTCAAAAGTTCATTTTTAATCTCATTTGGGATTTTAAAGGTATTTCTTAACAAAATGTTACAAATGGGTTTTCAAAACAGTAAACATAAGATTTTAAAGTATATAATATAGCAATGCATAATAAACCCAGGATCTTAACTCCCCCTTCAAAGTCTTAAATTGACCTATAATCTGAGAACCTCTCAACTTTCAGGGTCTGGAGGATAAAAAAGATTCCAGAGGTGGAACTAGGCAGGATATTTTAGAAATTTGAGTTGGGATCAACTCAATGGCAATGGGTTTATACTAATACATGTGATTACATAATGATCCATTAGTTCATTATCTCAACTAGGGACTCTTTCCACTTAACTGAAATATTTAGAAATATTTGTGCCAGTTAATCTCCTGTCTCCTGCCCTCACATTCATTCTCTGCCATTCTTTGTTCACAAATAACTGTCAGCTTTCAAGGCTTACTCCTATAGACCATACCACTTAGACTCCCAAATAACTCACTTCCAGCCCAGTTCTGCCAACAGAAAGAGATCAGAGGCCTGAGACAGCAGGTTTAAATGCTTCCTTATTGCTCCCTTTCAGCTGAGCTGTATTTTCTGATATGTCCTTTATCTCTATAGACCCTGTAGTCCTCTTGAAGCAACATTAATATATTTTCTATCTTTGTTCCTTCATACTTAGAAATGCTGGCTCTGGATGCATTCACTCAGGATTTAAGAGTTCAATGGTATTATTATTGCAAAGATTAGATCACCTGGGATTAGGACCTGAACATACCTTTTTGGTTAACCTAAACCTGGGTTCAATTAACATGAATTCAGTAGTAGCCCATAGTCATTAAAATTGGGTGCCAGAAATTTACTGTAGTTGTTAATATAGCCCACAAAGGCTAAATACTTACCTGGTCCTTTACAGAAAACATCTGCAGTCCTCTGCTATAAAGGAAGAAGTCCACATAGGCATAAGGAGATGGGGGCAATGGTGTGGATTTGATTGGTATGTCAAAATGTTTAACATCACAATTAACAAAATATTAAATGGCATTTGTTCTGAAAAGTACCATAAACTTTCATAGTAAGAAAACTTAATTATGTATAACATTCATGAAATTATGTATAAAGGTCATGAAAATATCAAAAATAGCTGAACTTAATTTT